GCTGTCCCTGAGCTGGCTGCCAGATACATTTTTAACCACTACTGTTTGTGGTGACCCTGTTTTCAGTCTACTCTTGCTGAATCTCTCACTCATCACTTAAAGGCCCCCCTCCTCCGCCTGGAACACACTGCCAGTGTTTGACCAGCACCCCTTCTTTCAAAACACAGTTTACATGCCACTGCTCCCACAAAGCCACCCCAATCCTGCAGGACCCTGGCTTCACCTTCAGGACAATGGTTACAATGTGGTTGGAATTCTTATCGCCATGAACTGGAAGCACTTGTTGAGTGGGTTTGGCTTCTATACCTGACTGTGTGAGAGGAAGGAATGGACGTTGACCCTCTGCCTGGTGCAGAGCCTGTGTAGAGTTAGTGCTTGCTGCATGAATGAATGCATGGGTGGATAAAGTTAACAGACGGGAGGATGCGCTATAGCGGAAGCACCAGTAGTGGTCTTTAATCCCGGAAACTTCTCTCCTTAACAACAACAACAACACACCATTATTACATGGAAGGGTGACAAGGCCCTTTCAACAGGTATGATGTGCCGCATCACAAGAATTAACCTCCCCTTCCAGCTCTTGGCTACTGTCTCCCAAAACCACCTGCCAAACCAAAGAACACAGTGTACACAATGGTCAGGAGCGTGGGGCCGCTGAGGGCACAGATGACTCCCTGATCTTTATGAGCAAGCCAACACTCCTCAAATGTGCCCCTCCCGGTGCACCCCACAGTCTGACCCAAACATTCATGCAATGATAAAAGTCCCATGGGGGGGGGCAAGTCTAGGGTGGGTAGCGTGCCTAAGGCTCTTCCGGTAGCAAACAGAAAAGAAAGCAGCTTCTGGGGAGGCTGGAGGAGGCCGTGGAAACACTCCAGGAGGTGCAGGGAGAGGACAGAGAGGGCTGGAATAGTAGTAAGAACTCAGAAAATCTGAGTAAGCCAGACTGCCCAGGAATGATCGCGTTCGGATCCCATTGGTACCCATACAGTAGTATTTTATTCACACAGACTCACTCCCCTCTAAGACATAAGCCTTGCCTAGGGCTGTGGCTCCCCTTAAGGGAGGCCTCTTAACAGAATTCCAAGAAATGCCTCAGTGGCCAAGCTGCACAAGCTAGCAAAAGGGATACATACACTTCTTTGAACACAACTCTTTTCATCTGAGCACAGCAGAATGTTTAGACATAGGACTTCCAAGGACAGAGTCACTGAGCCAGGAAGGACATCTCTATTGCCTATCAGAGAGAGCTGCCCACATTCTAGTTCGAGTGAGGATATACACTTAGATTCATAGACTCCTAGAAAGTTAGGAACTCAGACTATGTCCAATCCCCTTATTCTAGAGATAGCGACCCCTCCAGTGAGGGAGGAATCAGGACTTGCCAGAGATCCTAGATGTGTCCCAGCACAGACTCCACAGTCATTCTGTAGCTCTGGAGAGGATGCTTATTGAGATGCCCGTCCAAGAGACAGGACCAGAAGAAACGGCTTCAATTTGCAAGCGAAAGGACTCAGCTGATACACAGTGAAGAATTCCTGAGTACAACAACAGGCAACAGGCTTGGGTACTGCCCAGAACGGTGCCTAACCGTTGTGCTGCGCTCCCAGGGACATCACAATCACACCACTCCTCCTCTTTGGGAGTTCCAGATACTCAAGGTCCTTTTCTCTGAGCCGGCGCCATGGCCATCGGCTGAGGGAACTTGAGAGGCCAGCCCTGGAACAGGTGCAACAACTGTAACAACTGCGCAGCTGTCTCGGGCATGCTGCCTGGTGCCAGTGAGTGAGACAGAGACCTCTACTGGTGGGAGCAGGGAGGTGCGGAACCTCGTGGTTAGAGACCCAGACACAGGGCCTGCTCAAGGCCGAACTTGAGGCATTCCCTTACCTGCTACTCACCCAGTCATGCACATCTGGACAGATGGATAGAGATGTGATTAAGTTGGACAGCAGGGCAGGATTACATATTGTAGTATCCCAGATACATCTTTCCCTAAACCCCCCCCACTGTTCACCTATTCCTCCCCACAGTACAGAATACTTACACTCTCCCAACGCCCACTGGCAAAGTCAAATGGACTCAGGATGCAAATGAGGACATCTTAGAGAAAGGCAGTTAATGCTACCATGGTCCTCAAACATCACCCATTTAAGGGCGAGCATCTGACCTCAAAGGTGGCAGAGGCAGGCAGGGAAGGACCCAGTGCCTGAGATCACATTTGGCACCAGGGGAAAGGCAAGCTCTGGGGCCCTGAGTTTCTGCGGGTGAGCTTGCCTTTGGACCCACGCCACATCTAAGGAACTGCCCTTTTGTCCAGGCCTGCTTCTGGGGTCTGAGAGTCCATCAACTGGGAACCAAAGCCCCAATTCCCAGACATAACCCCCTGAGGGCTGATGTCTTACTTGGTAATCAGCTCTCTCCTGAAGGTAATATGGGAGAGAAACCCGAAGCGAGTTAGTTTGCAGAGAGAAGCGAGCACTAGAGAAGGCACTGGAGATGAGTACAGGGATGAATGGGGCCACTTCTGGGTCACAGAGGGGGTGAGTGACAGATGTGACTCCACTGGGACTGCGGTCAGCACCAGTCAGAACCAGGCCAGAGCCTCCAGCCTGTGCGATGACTCCAGCCTCAGGTGGAACTGTGGTTCAGTAGTGAGGGCTGGACAGTCAGGGCTCAGCTAACGGCCTAATCGAGACTCGGTATGGATCTGTGGGTGGAAGTAGAGCCAAAGGGAGAATAAATAATCTTTGCTGAGCCCTTGGACTTCAACTAAGGAGTGTGCCAAACTCCCCAATCACAGACCCCGGCAGCCACCTTGGAAGTCTATCCCTTGGGCTTCAACTAAGGAGTGTGCCAAACTCCCCAATCACAGACCCCGGCAGCCACCTTGGAAGTCTATCCCTTGGGCTTCAACTAAGGAGTGTGCCAAACTCCCCAATCACAGACCCCGGCAGCCACCTTGGAAGTCTATCCCACACACACCTGAGAACACCCATCTGTCGGCACCATTTGTAAAAGCACTTTAGACGTCACCAGGAGACATCACACACACCACACGCTTAAGATGTCTCTTACACTAAGAGAAGGCTTTTCCCACGAGACCTTAAAATAGGATAGTGGCTGAAGACTTGAAGTATGACGACAAAATTCACAGAGCAACGGCACCAATATACATGAGGCTCAGAGACAGGCAAAGTGTCCTAACTCACACGACCAATAAGTGACAGATCTGGAGTTAGGATATGGGTCTCTGTTCCTTTCTCCGTGGCTCTGCAGTAGTCATCTTAACTCTAAAAACAGGTGATTTGATTGATAGACACAGAAGAGAAAGCCCTTTCCAGCCTTGACAACACCAGGATCTCAGTGCTCCTCCCTGACCGCCAGGTCACCTCAACCTTAGTGCCGGTTATTTTCTTGAGAGTCTGGGGCTCTGTATTTGCAAGGCTATGGGGGATATAGCATCCTGCAGAGCCTGGTGGCAGATATGGACTAGAAGACCAGTGCAGGCATGGGGAGGTCAGAAAGGGAGTGGGTCACCAGGCAGAGGTGACCTCGATGCTCTGAAGGGCTGGTGCTCATGGCAGGTAAAGGGGGCTTTGAGTAGCCTCTGAGCCATCAGAGTGGACCTCCCAGAGCAATGGTATGGGGAAGGGAGCTGCAGGATCAAGGCCAAGGTCAGGAGGCACTGAGATCCTCTGAGACTAAGTCTCTCCCAGTGGACAAGCAGGCAGGCTAGGAGGAAAGCCTCGAGGCTGGAGGAGGGAGGGGCGACATTTACTGAGTACTTGGCATTCTGCTAGGTGTTTGAAAGCATTGCTCCCATTCATCCTTCCCCAAACCCTCCTGACCTTGGCTAGCAGCTCTCCTTTGCAGAAGCTCGCAGAAGTTTGAAGAGGGACACAGGCATAAGAGGCAGAGTCAAGGCTTGAACCCAGTCCCCAACACTCTCTGTTTCTGTTCACGAGGACGTCTATGGATCTCAGCCACAGGCAGACTAGGGAACATCAGACAGACATGCAAACTTCCCCTCACCAGCTTTACAAAGCCATGAGCAGACTGAAGCAGGGCGACCGGCAAAGCTGAGCTGTGGCCATAGAAAGAAGGCTCTCACCCAGGAGATGGGCGGCTTCGAGCAACGCTCTGCTCCTGAGGCCTGAGGCAAACCACTCCCCTCATTGGCCTCTGTTTCTTTATCAAGGGAGTTCAGAAGGGACTACCAGCTTAAGGGGGGCAGTAAGGAAACTGGGACTGTGGGTCTACATAACCTGCTTGAGGTTCCATTGTTTTTGCAGAGGAAACTCTGGGGTTAGGCTGCTGATAACACTTTGGGGAAACTACCTCTCAACATCCCTATGCAAGTCGCCCCGCCTGCTCCCTGTCATTTAATACTCATAACGGTTTTAAGAGCCTCACATTTTATAGATTAGAAAAGAGACTGTGAGGTGCCTTCCGTGTCTGACTCCACCGGATGATATTTAATGGGGCCAGGAAGATGAAAATCCTCATCTAGTTCACCATGTCCCGCTGTCTTCCAGAGCCGCACAGCCCACATCAGGGCGCCTTCCAGACACTGTGAGGCAGGATTTGGAATTGGAGTCCTCCCTTTGCCCTAAGTTTACTCATCTGTTAAATGTGAATGATGACACCTTCCCTGCGGTATTGTGAGCATCAAAAAAGATCAAGGACTAGAGAAGTCACCTCACTGTGCTCATCTTTCTGCCCCAGAGCTCTTTCTACACAACAGCCTTTCTGTCTTCCTCACACTCCTTTCCTGCCCTGCCCTAGGGCAGGCAGCAGCCCCCGGTGTGGACCTTGCCACGCCCTTGTCTTCCCCAAGACTCACCAGCCCACACTGGTCGTGGACCACTCTTGCCACACAGGTGCTGTCTGGATGAATTCACAAGTTACCAGTCCCCAGGTCTTAACACCGTCCAGGAGCATCCCAGTGGTCCGCATCCCTCCCCTGCCTGCCCAGACTCTGCTTGGTTTCTACTTACGGGCTCGGGCTTGCGAGTCCAAGGGGAACCAGAACATCAGGAGTCCCAGCAAAGAGGAGAGGATTCTCACCCCCGGAACCATCCTTCCTTGTCCCAAGGTCAGATAACCCCGGGATGAGCCGGGAGAAAGTAAGATTCTGAGAGGAACACAAGTAAGTCCCCAGGACCAAGTAGGACCGCTGTCTGAGAAGTCAGAAAAGCAAAGATGAAGAGGAGCCAAGGACAGGAGAGGTCTCAGGTGGGAGTGAGAGGACCGTAGGAAGGGGGCGAGGAGAAAGGGGAGATGGAGAGATGGGGAGATGAAGAGTTAGAGGAAAAGAGATGGCAGAAATGGAGAAGATGCTAGCTAGAGAGCCGGTGTCTGCGGGGCGCGCGGCTCTCGGGACTCAGTGCTGGGGTGGCGCTGGCTGGCGGCGGCGCTGCGGTGCGAGGTCCAGCACCCTCCTGGGGAGCGATGGGACGGCAGGACCCTCGGCGGCGGCGCAGGGGAGGCTGAGCGCAGCCGCTGTGCACGCCTCGGGCGCCAGACGCCGCGCTCGGGCGCATTTGTACTTTGCCGCGGGAAGCTTGCAGCCCCGGGCCGGCCTAGCGCTGGCGCCTCCTCTGAGGCACCGCGAGCTCGTGGATTGGCCACCCGAGAAACAAGCCCATTTCCCCCCGCCCCTCTCGTGCGGGGCTCGGAACCTCTGCTCCAGGCGAGGCGCCGAGTGGAGACGAGGGGGCTGGGGAGGGGGAAGGGGCCACTCGCGCACTGGGTTTTAACCCCTGTCTCCCCGCGGTACCTAGCCTGAGTCGGTTGGAGTTGGAGTGGGGAAGGACACAGCACGGGTCTGGGCAAGCTCAGGACTGGGTGCTTGGTGGGGAGTGCAGAAACACTTGCCTTTCTTAACGCAGTTTGTGGTCTTGAGCATACCACCTGGGAGGCAGACTTTCTGCCCAGCACGAAAATGATGGTGAATTCAGCCCACCACTCTGCATGTGCCAGTGACAGCCCTTTGCCAGAGCCTTGTCTTTTCACCAGAAGGTGGGCACCCTCACACTGACCCAGAACCCCAGCAGCGCAGGCAGGCTGTGTTTCCAGACCTCATGATTAATGAGCTCCAGAACTAACAGGGCACTAAGAAGAGAACCAGCTCTCTCCACACCAGAGCGCCCAGCTCTGCAGTGAATGCGCAGACTCAAGGTCCTGGTCCCGTCCACACCTTGCTGGGCTTCTCTTGCATGGCTACCAGAGTCTTGGGGAGACCAGGAGATGGTAAGAAAGAAGAGATGGCAGACCACACCCACTCTGATGGAGAATCTGATTTGCAGGTTCTGACAGTGCCTGGCAGGTTTAAGGCCACCTCCCCTTCATCTGTGTTGTCACCTCTCCTCACCAGGTGAGCAATGGGAGGAACCAATGACCCAGAAGGCCCCTTCCAAAGGCTTTCAGAATGAACACAAAGACGAACTCCCTCCAATACTCCTCAGACTTTACTTCTCCCCGAAAACTGGCCGTCTCTCCTCGCACTGGGGTGAAGGGTTAAGTGCACCGCTTTCCTCTGTCTTTGGTAATGTGCGCTCTGTACCTATCTTGATGCCTTAGGTTGCAAGAGGTGGGGCTGATTGAGTTACCTAAACCCTTACCAATCACTCACCTCCCCAAAGTGCTTGTGCGTTTTCATACCTCTGTATCTCTATGCACGTCCTCCTTCTGCTAGATCAGTTTCATTTGCTTCTCCATCTTGGACCTTGACCAAAACAGGCCAGCGCTTTCTGAGTTTCATCCCGGCTCCTGACTTGCCAAGTTACCCCAGCTGGCTTCACCGATCCTCCTGCCTCAGCCCCCTAGTGACTAGGAAAATAAGTCTGCACGGCTGTGCTGGAAGTTGCTGTGACCTTGGGCTGCTTCTTTTTGCACGGTGCTTTTCCTGTGTTCACACTTGGGAACTACCATGTGCACACCTGTGTATGCTGGTGCACATGCCCCTGCACTTGCATAGTATGGCCAGACGGGGGCAGCTGTTGTCTCACTTTCTACCTTATTTGACACAGTGTGTATCTGCTTTAGCCCCAGCAGCCAGCGAGTAGGATCCTTCCATCCCTGCTCACAACAGACAGCACTGGGGTGACAGTTTTGAACGGCTATACCCAGCATTATTATTATTATTATTAGTAGTAGTAGTAGTAGTAGTAGTAGTAGTAGTAGTAGTATGTGAGTCCTAGGGATTTGAACCCAGGGCCTCATGTTTGCCCAATAAGTGCTCTTACCCACTAGGTCATGTCCCTAGCTCCCCATTTTCACTTATGATCTTCCTGCTTTCGCCTCTAAGTGCTGTGGCTATAGGGATCACTATCCCACTCAGCTAGAGATAGGACAAAGCTTCCTGCAAGCTAGGTGGGCACTCTAACTTAGCTACACCATCTCTGGGGACTTCATTGACTTCTCCCAGGCAAGATTTATTTATTTATTTATATTTGTTTTGGTGGAGTTGGGGATCAAATGTAGGGTCTTCTACATGCTAGGTAAGGGTTCTAGTAAATGGTCAACCTTTGTGTGGAGTGTATTTATTTGCATTTTCAGCATGCACTGTGAGAGGTGCCCTTTTCACTTTTATAGTCATTTTGGCACAAACTTTTGCTACACAATGACACTGAATAAACATGGCTGAATGAATGTATGAGTAAGAGCAAGCATGATTTCAAAAGACATTACTCTTTCATCTGAATTCATGAAGCACCCAGTGGCCTCGACCTTAATCACTAAGAAACACACGTGTTCGGTGCTAGAGTTCTTGCTGAGCATGTGAAAGGCCTTTGCTTTTACCTCAGCGCACATTACTACAGTCTGCTTTTAAGGGTCACCCCAGTCCTTAAAACCCTAGTGCTTTAACAGTCTCCAATCTCTTAACTGTAGGCTCCCAGGAGCATCCTTCCAACATATTATGGTGCCGAGTAGACATTCTTATTCCAAGGGGGGGGGGTGCAAAAGCAAAGGAGAAATCACAACAAAGCACAACCAAACCCAACAGAGAAACCAACCAACCCTGCAACTCCAAAGACCACTGTCTGAAATTTTCTGGACTCCAGAGAGCTTGGGTAGCAAAGCCCTTTGAGGAATATTTCATTTTTTAATGTCCCATGACTTTAATATGACAATATAGATTTATAACGTTTGATCAGTAATTTTATCTCAATTGATGTTACATTCCATGATAAAGAAGTAAAAGGAAGACAATCACAAATACCAACAATGTGTTTGCAAATAATTCCTAACAAGTAGGACAAAGACATTCATGTCAATTACAGTCTTTTGTCTGTAACTGGTCACATGGCCTTAGCAGGTATTTAAAAGCTCATCAGCTACTGTTCACGCTGTACTTCCTCTACTCTTAGCAAGCACTCTAGTGAGTCTTGCTTCTAACCTGGAGGGGTGAAATAATACTTTCGTTCAAAGGCTCTGGTCCTGCTGTATCATGTCTGGATTGGATTGTTGTAGCTTCGCATTTGGCCTGAACCATGGGACATGGCAACACCAAGATCCCTGAAGGAATTCTTGCACTACAAACATGCTCTTCCTGCCCTCATTATGAAGAAGCAACCCAATTCTTTCCGGGTAGTCTGGATCAACCAGCCCTCCTAACATTGTTGGTCCTTTCTTAGTTGACTCAAGGACACCAGGAGCCCCAAATGGCTGGCTCTTCACTCCAGTTCAATGAAATTTTGTTGGCCCTCCTGACAGAAGAATTTCTCCATTTAAAAACAAAACTTCAAGGCTTGCAAAGCATGAGGTCGTGGCAACAGGAAGCAAACAGTTTTCCTAATAGGCCATTAGGGGCGATTGTGAGTGGAATCACTGCCATTTCTTCCCCCTTGATTCCTGGGTCTATGAATCCTGACTGTAGGAGAAACAGTACTATATATTGGACACTGACTCAAAGCATATACAGACTTCTGGAGAACCCTGCCCAATTCCTCCAGGCTATTATCACCCAACTGTCACTTTAACTGTATATTTTTATATTATTTTTTAATGATGATTATTATTTTATGTGTATGTATGTCTGTGTACCATGTGTACATATGATTCCCAGGGAGGCCAGTTAAAAGGTTGTATCTCTCTCTCTCTCTCTCTCTCTCTCTCTCTCTCTCTCTCTCTCTCTCTCTCTCTCTCTCTCTCTTTGGTTTTTCGAGACCGGGTTTCTCTATGGCTTTGGAGGCTGTCCTGGAACTAGCTCTTGTAGACTAGGCTGGTCTCGAACTTACAGAGATCCACCTACCTCTGTCTCCCCAGTGCTGGGATTTAAAGGCGTGTGCCACCACCGCCAGGTTGGTTGGATCTCTTGGAACTGGAGTAACAGCCAGATGTGAACCACACTTTGGGTGCTGGGAATCAAGCCTAGGTCTTCTGGAAGAGCAGCCAGTGCTCTTAATTGCTGGGTCATCTCTCCATCCTAGCTGCGTCTTTAAAAGGCCATTTCACCATTGTATCAAGGTAACTCCTTCAGGATAGTGGATGGCATGGTAAGGCCAGTGAATTCCATGAGCCTTTGCTGCACTTCCTTAGCTGTGAAGTGGATTCCTGGTTAGGAGCAATGCCATGTAGAATATCATGATAATGGATAAGCCATGTCATGTGTTCACAGATGGTAGTTTTGACAGAGGCATTATATGCAGGCAAGGAAAGCTCATAACTAGAATAAGTTATCTATTCCAGTAAGGTCAAAGTACTGTCCCTTCCACAAGGAAGTGGTCCAGTGTAGTCCATCTGCCATCATGTTGCTGGCTGGTCACTCCAGAAAATGATGCCATATCTAGGGCTCTGTATTGGTCTCTGTTGCTGGTAGATATGACATTCAGAAGCAGCCATAGTCAAGTGATCCTTAGTAAGTGGAAGTCCATGTTGTTGAGCCCATGCATAACTCCATCTCTGCTGCCATTGCTATTTGTTCATGGGCCCATTGGACAATAACAGGAATGGCTAGAAAGAGAATCATAGTGTCCACAGAATGGGTCATCCTATCCTTGACTATTAAACTCTTTCTCTTCTGAAGTCATCTTTTGATTAGCATTTATATTGGACACAATTATCTTCACACTCTTCTACCATTTAGAGAGATCCATCCACACACTTCTTCCCCAAATGTCTTTCTCACTAATTTCCCAATCATGCTCCTTCTAAATCCCTAACCATCTAATCAATCCATTGTCTACAGCCCATGGATCAGTGAAAAATAACTTACCTGTCCATTTCTCTGTCGAAGCAAACATACAGATATGTTAGTTCACTGCCAAGTTCTGCCCACTGTAAAGACTTTTCCCCAGTGTTCTTTATGATTGATGCCTGCATGGCACACAGAATCACCAGTAGCCAGGTGTAGTGGCTCACACCTTTAATCCCAGCACTTGGGAGGCAGAGGCATATAGATCTCTGAGTTCATGGTCAACCTAGTCTATAGAGTGAGTTCCAGGACAGCCAGAGCTGCATGGTGAGACCCCATGGGGGGGGAGGAATAGCCAGCAAGCCAGGTTCTAGTTTTTTTTTCTTCTTCAGTCAACTGATCATAAGGCATACCCCATAGAGCCATAGCAGATGCTTGGGGACAGAAAATGTAACAGGAATAGGAACCATGGGCATTTAGGAAACTTGATAAAACTTGCTTGTGCCCTCTGAAACCTCATAAGACAGGTCTCTATTTGTCTGCATTGCTCTCAGAATAATCTTCCAGGTTCTCACAGTAGCTCATTAAGTTGTGAGCACTCAAAGACGTTTCCAGCCCAACACTCCAAGACCCATCCACAATCCTTTCCAAACATATGCTCAGTTCTGTCACAGCAATACTCTATGATATGTTGCTACAATTCCTTCCCAGGGATAGAGAGTGTATCATTTCCCTCCCCAAGGTCCCAATGACCAAGGCACAATTCCACCAAAGTTCACCCAGGGAAACCAATGAGTTTATTGGGCTTACTTACAGAGAAATGGTGATGGATTATGGACAGGAACACAGATGACCTTAAAGTAGCCACACTGGAAAGTCAGTACCCAGCAGGGATGATGGCTTCCCTATGGTTGCATAGATGGAATCCCTCCTACCTTTCCCCCAACTCTAGCCTCTAGCTTTTCCCAAAAGACCACATGCAATTAGGGCAGAATTGCACAGATGGGTTGGGAGAAGCAGGGGAGGTGCCCTCCCTGCCCACTCCTTCTATGAGGTTCAGCTGCGATGATCATTGCCAAGTTGGCCAGCAGAACTCCTGGAGATGATGGTGGTTTGGCTCAGAGGATCATCCTGTACAGCATCTCCAAACTGCTCCCTTCCTTCAACTCCTATGTTCTTTCTGCCGTCTTCTTCCACAAGGGTTCCTGAGAATGGGAGGGGATGATATAGATTTCTGATCAGTTTCAACTCCAGCAAGGTACCAAACCCTCATGTCCTCTGTTGTGGTTTTAGTGATAATAACATAGGCTCGTTTTGTTCAATACTGAGTCCCCAGTTTGTGGAACTATTTGGGAAGGATTAGGAGGTGTGGCTTTGTTGGAGGGGGTGTGTCATTTGGGTCAAGCTTTGAGGTTTCAAAAGATCTACACCACTACCAGTGTTCCTTCTCTGCCTTCCACTTGTGGACCAAGATGTGATCTCTTAGCTACTGTTCAGTTACTGCCACCATGGCTTTCCTAAACCATCACAGTCTCTATCCTTGAAACCATAAACCCAATTAAATGGATGTGTGTGTGTGTGTGTGTATGTGTGTGTTACCTTGGTTATAGTGTTTTGCTATAGCAACACACACACATACATATATATATGTACATATATATATATATTAACTAAGACACTCTATCATCATTCTTCCATCTCCATAGCTTCTGGCAAGTCTGAGAGGTGAGAACATCTACTACAAAACACAAGTAAGGAAATGGGCAAAAAGGGGGGTTAGTGGAATAGGAAAATGTTCAAAAAGACAGCAGTAATAACTTTATAAACACAAATGTGAGGAAGAACATTGCATATTACATCTTTTAACCAAGCAATACCAGTTGCTTCTCTCCTGGAGTCTATGACTTCCCTGGTCACAGACTTTGCTCTCCCCTGCTGCACCTGTGACTTATGTGGGTCAGAGAGGCCCTGGAATGGTACTGTAGCTCTGGGGTGGTGCTGTGGCTGTAACTCCAGCTATTGTCTCTCCATTTATCACATCTGGCTGCTTGGGGAGGCCCTGCCTGGACAAACTATCTCCATTTGTAGCATATCTTTCTGCAGGAAAGAAAAGTACCCTGCTTAGTCTAAAGCAGTCATTTTCAACCTCCCTAATGCCGAGACCCTTATGCTGTGGCGACCCATAACCACAATATTATTTTTGTTGCTACTTCATAACTGTAATTTTGCTACTGTTACAAATCAAAATGTAAATATGTTTTCTTCTGGCATCTAAGTTGCTCCACCACCTCACAGACACTGTTTACATGTTAGTCAAGGTCATGTAGATCCATCAAAAACTTGGTTATTTAATAAAGATCCTGCCTCACCAAAGTGCTCCACAAGCCCACTAAAGCTCCATCCAGTCTTGGGTCATTATTGAGTCCAGCTCTTCCTTAAACCTTTGGTGAGTTAGGCATCATACATCAGTTTCCTCATACCATCGTGCCTGTCCCTCCTCTATGGACCTCCAGCCCCTGGTATCCTTGGAGACTTCCACTGATGAGCAAATATCCCCAATGGCTTGAATGGGCCACTCTATCAGGGACCAACTCCTCTTGCACTGTCTCAGACTATTTAGCTTGTGTATCAAGGGAAGATGCATACATATCGCTTAGTTTCTCTGTTTCCACTGTCCCCACACCCCACAGCCTCAGTAGCCAGGCTGTGGACCACCTGTAGCTTCTCAACTAGGAATGGGTCCTCGTGAGCCCCCCACTATCCACGCTGAAATATGGGCATTTGTTTGGTGCAGCGCTTGTGTGGCAAGCACAGCTGTTGAGAGTTCATGAGGTGACTACCTGTCATATTCAGAAGACAATTTTGCAGGTGTCCTTCCTAGCCTCTGGCTTTTTACAGTCTTTCAATTTCCTGAGCCTTGGGAGGAGGGAAGACGGGTGATCATGATGTCCCATTTAGGGATAAGCAGTTTCTTCTGTGCGTTCTCTCTGTCCACTGCAAGAAGCTTCTCTGTAAAGGGGGGTGGGTGGACTAATAAATTGGCATAAGGATAACTAATTAAAAGGAAGTTTACGGTGCTTCAGTTTAGCAAAGTCATAGCAGTAGATTCTCCCATAGGATCTATGGCCCCCAAGCCACAGGTTCCTGGCCAGGTATATATAGTATTAGGTATGAATTTCCCCTGGATTTAAGGCCCACTAGTCAGGATTACCTCCTTGATCTGAGGGTTTCAACCCTATGTGGAGTCACATAACTTAATGTGGAGGTGGCAAGAGGTGTAGCAAAGGAAAAGTTTGGTGAATGTGCAGCAACCTAATTTTTTTTTTTGAGACAGGGTTTCTCTGTATTGTTTTGGAGGTTATCGGTCCAGCCCAGCCTCGAACTCACAGAGATCCGCCTGCCTCTGCCTCCCGAGTGCTGGGATTAAAGGCATGCGCCACCACCGCCCGGCTGCAGCAACCTAATATTAATTCAACATCAAAAGCATAATGAATCCCAGGTGTTTCTGGCAGTGCTCGCCTGTGCTGTATCACGTGATTTCACGAGCGTCTTGGCTCTGAGTACCTCCACGTGTGCTTTGCACAGAGTATGTCTTAAGTCTACAGTTACTTTCCTATAGCTGTGAGGAGACACCATGGCCAAGGGAACTTACAGAAAGGAAGTTTACTGGGGCTTCCATTTCCGAGGGTGAGTCCGTGATCATCATGGTGGGAGCATTGCTGCAGGCAGGCTTGGCACTGGAGCAGTAGCTGAGAGCTTATTTAGATCCTTATCAGAAAGTAGGATGGGTGGGGTGGGTGGGAGTGCTGACTGGGAATGGACACACCTCCTCCAACAAGGCCACACCTCCTAATTCTTCCCACACAGTTCCACCGACTGGGGACTGAGAATTCAAATATATGAGCCTATGGAGTCATTCTCATTCAAACCACCACAGGGCATGTGGTCACATGGTGCAGTGCCACCAAGTGCTACATGAAACATTCTTCAGTTCAGATTCAAGACTGTTGTCAGTTATGAACTACCATGTTTACTGTACTTAGAATTCTGCTCATAGAGAAACATAAAGGCTTAATTATGATAAGCAAATTCTCAACATTTCACTATTGTAATATTCAACACATAATGATCAAATTAAAATATCTTTGAATCATATTATGTTGTAGTTTTTGTTTTATTCCATTTTATTTGTGACAGGGTCTCACTATATAACTCTGCTTGGCCTGGGACTATGTAGACCAGGCTAATTTGAACTCACAGAGACCCCCTTGCCTCTGCCTCCTGAATACTAGATATAAAGACATTTCATTTTAAAATCACTTTTAAACTAACTTGCTCACTTGAGTTTCATTTAAAAAAATTGTTCAATGAATTTGGGGTTAGGGTAAATTTGGGATTAGGACAGAGTTTCTGGTAATTGCTGAGAAGACCTTGAACATACCCCAGTGTTTTGCACTATTTACTTATTCACAGCAGCATTTCCAGCATTGATAATTAGTAAATCAAAATATTAATCAATTCTGAAAAATTCAGAAGAGGCTCTGTATTTTATAGTGTCCAATATTCAAATAGGATCTAATTGTTTATCTAAAATCAAATAAGCAAAAAGCTTAAGAGGCCATAGATTGCTTCAGAGTGTTAAACCAGAGCAGTAACATGGATCACAGGGGTCAGGGGCAAGAAAAAGCTTCTTAACCTAGTCTACTGATTTCTATTCATATGCTTCTAAGAGAACTTACCACAAGGGAGTTGACATGAGAGGACTACCTGACAGAGACTGCATCATGCTGGTGTATGTGTAACTACCAGTGTTGGGGACAGGGGCATGTTATTTTTCCTGTTCCCATTTTATTGTGCTCAAGATATTTCCCTCCAAATAAGCTGAGAACTACAGTGTTGAGAAGAAAGAGCCTTCAAAAACTGTGACCGAGCACAAAAGGGAGAGGGAGAAGAGAAACAACTGAACTTGCTCTCAGGGATTGGAGAAAATTAAAATAAGAAAAAGGAAAATAATAGAAGGTTGGAATCTACCAGTGTTCCTCTTCACTCTCCTCTCCTTCCTACTCTTCATCATCTTCATCTTCATCTTCTTCACCTTCTCCCCTCTTCACCAATATTTCCCAATCCTCTTTTGCCTCCTTTTTCATCATCACCGTCATCATCACCACCACCTCCAGTCATCCATATCAGGAGCCAAGGCACCTGGCCAAACATCACCTTTGATGATCTCTCTTAATTCATCCTCACCTGCATAAACTGGTCAGTTAACCAGGTAAAGAAGCCTCCTGGCTCCCTATGATACCTCTTCCTGTTGACTTTATGCTGTGTTGCATTTAAGTGTCTTGTCAAATGCTTTCCAGATTTCCACTTGGCTTTGGTGGCTTTGAAGGTGGAGCATTGCTGTCAGGCAGGTTACTTTCTTTGGAGAGAACCTTATTTTCAAAGTAAGGCTTTTCTTCAAGGTAAAAATCAATTCTGTGACCTGATTTTATATCTTTAAATTCTGTCACCTCGAGTCTGGTGAGATAATGTGGCATCTCTTATCATCCTCCCCAAGCAGTGCAGACACTTGTGCATGATTGAAAAATCTTATCCCAATATTTGAGATTTGGGTGATCGGTTCTGATCTATTCTGAAAAAAAGTGGTTGCTGGAAATTGTTATATTTCCATTATATATTCAAATTTTTCTCACTGGCTTGTTCTTTAAGTATGTCTAATTCATTTTGTACTTCAGTGTGATCAGCTTGCTTCAGTTGGCTGGGAGAAGCCAATGTGTCTGCCAACATCAAGACCAAGGTTAGTCTGGATTTCTTGGGTCAAGGACAGGAGCATAGATTGCTGTTTCAGGGCCATGCCATGAGGGAAGTGTCCAGATGCCATAGGCCAGAGCCCTGATGCTCACAGTGAGAGGAAACTTGCTTCTGGTTTTTACAGTTGTTAATTTCCATGATGTAAGTATCATGATATGACCAACTCATGTTCTAATACATTTCACTGAACAAACAATTGAGAGAAGAAACATAACAGAACAACATTACCAAATGTTTCTCCCACACAGTTATAATAGGCATTGATAGCCTGGAGCACATTGTTACAAAGACAACTAGAAAGTGATATGTTCGAGTACTTATCATGTTTTATTTTTAATTTTTTGTTATCTTAACTTATTTATTTGTTCTTTTGAGAGGGGTCTCCTGTAGTCAAGAGTGGCCTTGAGCTCTTTACAAGCTGAGAATGACCTTGAATTTGTAATCCCGACTCCTCCTGCTGCCACTACCCCCTGGCTTATGTAGCATTAAAGATGGAACTAGGCAAGCAGTCTACCAGCTGAGTCACATCCCCAGACCTTATTACCTCTGCTTTAAACACAGTTTATGTGATTGAAGGTCCATGTAATTTCACTTTGTCAATAACTGTGTTTAATAACCAGCTTGCAAAATGTCTAGATATTTTACCATTGGCTCTATTTAGCTGGCTGTAAGTACTGCCTGTCCTCCATATCTATGGCTTTAGCAGCCACAGATTGAACCAACTAAAGACCTAAGTTATTAGAAATGACTTTACTGAACACATACAGGCTTTTTTGTTGTCCTCGTTTCTAAACACAATGGCACAACAATAATGAAGTATTTGCACTGTAGTGGGTATAGGTAATCTAAAGATATTTAAAGTACAGAAACAGAAAGATATGTGTTGGTTGTTTGTAAATACTGTGTCATTTTATAGAAGGGACTCGAGCAGCCACAGATTTCGAAGGGTCCAGGAATCAATGGTGCTAGATAGTGAGAGACAACTATTGTCTACTGCCTTTTCTTGATTATTTCCATAAGGGAGTGGAAGAAATTGACAAACAGTGGAAGGAAAAGTATTACTCACAGGTGTCATCAACATTAATGGACAAAGTGAACAATGCTTGCCTGCACCATCTCTCTGCCCAGTTACTCATCTATGTAACAAATATGTATTTAGATCCTACTTAAGATCACTAGTCTTCTAAAAGAGATTTACTTTTATGTGTCTGTGTTTTGCCTGTGTATGAGTATGTTGCTGCATTGATGCCAGAGAGGATGCTGGGTCAACTGGAACTGGACTTACTGACAACTGTGAGTGGCTAGTGTGTGTTGGGAACTGAGTCTGGGTCCTTTTCAAGAACAACCAGTGTTCTTTGTTGGTGGAAGTTCTGTCCCTCAAGCTGCTCCTAAGTAACCACACAGAGGCTTAATATTAATTAGAAATGCCTGCCAATAGCTTAGGCTTGTTATGAGCTAACTCTTACGTTTAAATTAACCCACATTTCTCATCTATGTATGCTTTGCCATGTGACTTGGTGTCTTTTTTCAGTATGGCATGCCCTTCTTGCTTCTCTCTGCATCTGCTGATGACTCCCCAGATCCTCCCTTCTTCCTCCCAGCATTCTCAGGTTGGCTCTCCCGCCTAACCTTATTGTGTTCAGCTGTTGGCCAATCAGCTTCTTCATTAAACCAACCACGGCGACATATATTCACACAGTGTAAAAGAATATTCCACAGTTCTTAACTGCTGAACCACCTCTCCAGCCTCAAACTGCCATTCTTAATGCAGTACAATTTGTAGTCCTGGCTACACTACCTCAGAGTCTTTTCCCCCAGCATTGGAATGACAATTGAGAGTCTCTTAATATTTTTAGTGTCATGCCACAATTATCACAAGGATCAAAAGACATCTCAAAGGTAAAGCACACCATCTTCAGTCATTGTCTCCTGGTGCCTTCCACTGACCGACAGCTAGCCCGGCAGAGACTTTCCTATGAAGTCACTCCCACCCACTTACCAAGCAGCCCAGGGTGAACTCTTTGCCTGCACATGCCCGCCACTCTGCACGTGCCAGTGACAGCCCTTTGCCAGAGCCTTGTCTTTTCACCAGAAGGTGGGCACCCTCACACTGACCCAGAACCCCAGCAGCGCAGGCAGGCTGTGTTTCCAGACCTCATGATTAATGAGCTCCTGAACTAACAGGGCACTAAGAAGAGAACCAGCTCTCTCCACACCAGAGCGCCCAGCTCTGCAGTGAATGCGCAGACTCAAGGTCCTGGTCCCGTCCACACCTTGCTGGGCTTCTCTTGCATGGCTACCAGAGTCTTGGGGAGACCAGGAGAGGGTAAGAAAGAAGAGATGGCAGACCACACCCACTCTGATGGAGAATCTGATTTGCAGGTTCTGACAGTGCCTGGCAGGTGTAAGGCCACCCCCCCTTCATCTGTGTTGTCACCTCTCCTCACCAGGTGAGCAGTGGGAGGAACCAATGACCCAGAAGCAGCTTCCCCGGAGCTTGTAGGAACAGAACGGTGACACTTCAACAGGATGCTTCAAGGCTAATTTATTTCCTCCAGTTCTGACTTGATGCTCCTCTGTCCTGAGGACACAGTGCTTTAGTAAGAGAGAGTACTCCGTTCTTCCTTTTTTCCAAACAATCTTCTGTGCATAAATGGATGTCTTGGGTGTAACTCACTGGAATTCCTGAACCTGCTCATTCTACCTCATTCCATCCACCTCTACCACCTCAGCTTCCCTTCCATCCTCATCCCCAGAGCTCAGGCCATCTTCAGTCCATGCTCAGACATTCCCGCAGCTAGTCCTCATGTCTCCCGGCCCTAGTCTGGTCCCCTTAGATGTATTTTCCTCACATTTTCTGTAAGAGCTGTGCTGATCATTTTGACTGCAAACCCGATGGTATCACTTTCCTTCTTGAACTGATTCTGGCCAGCCTGTCAGGC